AGATTTAAATGGTGTGGAGTAGATGGAGGCTTGTTGTGAGACACAATCTCCTTCCCTTTCCTTCTGCCAAGACTCCTGGAAGATTTCTTGTAGAGCTGGCTGTGAAGTCCCAGTGTGTGAGGGCGTTTCCTGCGCTTAAAGCAGAAGGGGAAATCTGTGCACATGGGTATTCATCTCACCCTGCCTCTGTGACAGCTTTGATGTAATTGTGTACGTGCTCCAGCTATTGAACCTTAAAACAACAAACAGCCAGGCACAGAAGCTGTAGCTTCTCCAGCCCCAATTTCTTTGCAGTCGTATGGATGAAAGGGGATGGGACTGCATGCAACACAGAGGGGTGTTCTGGGAGCCAGGGCTCTCATGTGAGCCCTGTTTTCTGACTGCTGCTGGAAACCAAGCATGAGGCACGTGCTTTGGGTATGCAGGCAGTGTTGAAGTGTTCTATTCTCTATTCTCCTGAAGGCATGACTGCTGAGTACTATGCTGAGAGATGTCACAAGCAAAGATTAGTCAAAGGAGGCTTGAGGGAGAAACACTTGAGGCTTAGATGTAAAGTCTGTCCCCAGTCAACCACACTTGCAGTGGTTTGTGTTGGAAGGCCTTCAGCAAGGAGGAAGAGTGAGAGGGATTTAGGGTAAGAGAACATATGAGTACTGAGGCTGCAAAAACCAGTGGGTCCTTGCTTAGAGCAGCTCTAGGATATATGATGGAGTAAGCGGGTCAGTGCTGAAGCAGGGCAAGATGTAGGAGCAGCTTGGTTTTGGCTCTCATTCCCTTGTTGTAAAGCATGAGCAATATAGCCTCAAAGTCTCTGGCGGACTGAAGAGAGAGAAGCAACACCACAGAGCTGGTGCCTGGTCCTGCTCATCCACTTTTGACTGTTTGTCCCAATGGGGCCCAGATCCTGACAGCATGAAAGTGGTAAACATAGGCTGATACTGTGCAAATGTGCTGTCCTGGGAGCTCTGAGGGAGAGGAGATGGCATGACAGGCTGGATTAGAGTATCTCATCCCTATGCCCTTGCAGTAGAGTCTTCATACATAAATGGGGAACCTTGGCCCACTTTGCACAGCCACTGCAAGTGGGAACTCCATGAAGGCCAAGTGCTCTAGGTGGGATTTTCTTCCTGCATGCAAACCTTCCTCTCTGTTAGGCAGCCAAGTAGGCTTACAGCTGACACTGTCTGGCTGCCAGCATGGAGTAACCAAACACTGCTACAAGTACTCGCTTTTCTTGCTGTCAGCCTCTCTCATAGCTCTCTGATTTGTCACGGGTATCTGGCATTTCACGGGTATTTTCTAAAGGCCAGTGAAGTGTGCTTTGCAGCATGCATGGCTCTGATCACTGGCATGAGCTTTGAGTGAGCCTGTGCCTGTGTGTGTTCTGGGATAAAACAGTGGCAGTGAAGAACGTCTTGCTGACATAGAAGTAACTGCTTCAGGTGAGCTGGCTAATGGCAAAAGGAAACAGGCCTTTCTGGCAGAGCTCTAGGAAAGGGTGAAGGTTTGTTCCTGTCATTCCTTTGTACTGCCCATGTGTAGCACATTTCTTTTCAATGTGGGCATCGTGACTCGCTCAGCCCATCTGCCTGGGAGAGTTTACAAGCCAACTTATGGCAGCAGCCAAACTGACCATGGTAGTTTCATGACAGGGTCTTGGTTTGTGCCTCAATCTTAACTTGCTGAGCAGCACATTTTACCAAGTTGTGGAGACCAATTTCTGTGCCAAAACACCAGGAGGGTGGCCATGGAACAGATAGAACTTTTCTGCACCATTTGTGCCATTGCAAATGAGAGGCAGCAAAGGAGACTCTTCTTAAGCATTTGCTCTCTATTTGCAGGTGCCCTTAACCAGGCTCTCTACTATAAACTGATCTGGGATTTAGATGCATCTAAACATCAGGTCTTGATCATCAAGTACCCAGCATTGAAGTGCCTTTAAAAATAGGGCTCGTGCTCTTAAATCAGATGAATAATCTTAGTCAAGCAGATTTGTCTACTGAAAAATGAAGTCGTTCTTCACACACTTGACTGTCATAGTCTTTAACCTTAAGACAAAGTAGTTGGAGTTTTGGTTAAAACCTTACTGGCTTCAGTGTTAACATTAAAACTAAGTCCATGTTTAGACTAAGATAAGCTTTGTGGTTGTGTGTGCTATTGCAGGCAACCTTTCAGAGGGGGCAAGCAGAGCTGAGGTTTCCAGTAAAATTTGTGACAGGCTCCTGTGACAGAGGAATGTGCAAAATACAGCCTGTACATAGGGGCAGAACAAGTACTGCAAACACAAGGTGCTACATTTAGACTGCATTTAAGCTTTGCAATTAAACCAAGCAAACACCTCCCCATGCCCGGCACTCAGCTTTTTCTTTTGTATCCTTTTGTATCAATCAGTCCAATACCTCATTGGATCTCCTCTTTCCCATCCTGCTGTGGCCCTGAGGACTTTTATTGTGTAATAATAATCTCCTACAGTTTGAATAATTTCTGAATAGAAATGTGAGGTTTCTGAAACCTCCAAGAGATTCTGGGCCGGAGAGTTGTATCCAAGCACGGTGTCTCAATACTAGTTTGTTGTAGCATACATTACAGTGCATACTGCAATGGCATTTGCACTGGCTTTTATTCAGTAAATATGATATGAGGTGTGATTTAGATAGTTATACCTAGTTTAGTATTGTGATGAATTTGTGCAGCAAAGATGACCAGTTTGCAATGAGAAGGGGATGGGAACAGTATAGTAAAACAGCAGGACATCTTTTAGCTGAAAGGGGGAAGGACACATAGATGACCTTCTGTCCACTTGGTGCACGATATGTCTTATGGTGAAATTGTAAGAAAAGTCTTTCTTCTGGGGAGCAGCATGTATGTCAGCAGGAAATGGGAGTGGGGCTGGAAGAGATTTGGTTGGGGCTGGGTACAGGGTAAGGTGAGCTTTATCCTAGAGACAGCCTAGGGAGGAAGGTAAAGCCATGAAAACAAGGAGGGTGACTGAAGAGCCGTGGCAAGGGTTTTGCCTGCAAATCAGACATCTGTTTCACCCTACAGCAATCTCCTCTGTGTGAGAAATCACCATCTAAGTATTTCTAAAGTGGGAAGATGGAAATAGGCATGAAGGCTCAAGCAGACAGACCAATCTTATTGCACTCCTCTGATTTAAGATTTAGTGGATATTAGGTCTGTCTTTAAAGTGCATAATGATGCACTGATTTTGTGACTCATTTTCCAGAAATGGTGCTTTCAGTACAGTTATCAGTACTGCAGTTCGGAAGTCAGCCTGGGGTTGGAAACCTGGGAATTGCTGGGAGCTGGAGCCCTGTGGTGTACATCCTTGATGGGGTGCAATGCTGCATTCAAAATATGACAGCTCATGTAATTGAAGACGCTGCCTTGCAAACTTAACTTTGACTTGCAAATGCCATCACATTTCTTCTGGTTTAGAAGACTCATCTTCCTCACTTAAAAGCTGTTCTGCCAGTTCAGGTTTAAGTGTAGGTGTGAGGTGAGGGGAGATACTCAAACCAAATGTGAATTCAGACTGCAGACTATGGGAGCAAACTAGAATTGCTGGCCCTACAAGTATCTCTCAAATGGAACCGTGCATATTCCTTGCCAAGCCCTCCCCTCTGTTTTCTTTATATGAAATGACGTGCTGTTTTCTGAAAGCGAGAAGAGAAGCAGACAAGGGAAGGAGAAGAGGGAAGCAGCATTTGTAGGGTTTCATGCCCCTTGATGGGGTAGCCTGTTGTACTATTGCTGCACAGACTGAGCAGTACTTTGAAGTGTGATTTCTTTTCTGTTTTTCCTGGGGTTCCTGGCAATAGCCACTAGATAGAAGGAGACATTTTCTGATGTTCTTTAACAGTAGAGGAGTTTATTGCAAGTGCATTTAAAAATAGAGTCCAAGGACCATCTGTCTTGAGTGTTTTAGTGGAAGCGGGGAAAGCTTGCAGTGGCTGCTTGATTGATGGGTCCAGAGAGTTTTGTGTGGACCTATGGCTGCAGCCCACTCACAGCTGACCTGCCTCTGTAAAGAAAGTCACTGTTCAAGCCAGCTGTGACCTGGTGCCTCTGCTTTGGGTAGGTCTGTTTGGCACCCATGCAGGCAAACTCAGAAGAATCGAGCCCTTGCTGGTAATCCGCTATTGCCTTTGAGAGCCTATCTCCCAGACAGGTATCAAGAGGTGTTTCTGGTGCTGTTGGGTGTCTAAGCTGTAGATGGACTGCTTTGAGGAGATGACATGTTGATGGCTGGGGAATCTGCCTTGCTGGGGCCAGTCATGTGTGGAATGGAGCCAGGAGGAAACTTGATTTGCTCTGAGCAAGCTGTTGAGGAGTGTTCCCCAGGGCTGGACACATCTCAGCAACTGGCTTTCCCCTGTCACTGTGCTGACCTGTGTCTTGCCCTGAACTGCATTCTGCAAGGGTGCCAGCAGTAAGGAGCTGCCAACTTGGCACTTGAACAGTGAAGCTGAGGCAACTCATTTCACAGAGGGATACCAGGCGTTGTGAGAGCCCCCCACTGCTAGTGACTCAATACAGAGCTGGTATTGCTTCCAATATGGAAGAGCTGACAGCTGGGAGCTGGGATTTGCATGCTCAGCAGAGTACAGCATAGCCAAGGGTCCTGACAGGATGCAGCAGCAGTCCCATGGCACTTGTGGCAAATGCACCCAGGGAGAGAGAGTCATTAGGGAATCTTCCATCTAGATGCTATGAATGCCTAAGGAGGTCTTGAGGCTGTGTGCAGTGATTCAGACCAGAGACTGGAAAGATGGCAGTTATGTGTGTGGGGAACAGCATGTCTGTAAGCCGTACTCAGGACACTCACTATGGTTACATGTATGGGACCTGCGTGCAATGCAGGACAGAAAGCCCTCTTGCAGTGCTTGCCTGCATCACTCATGGATGCTTACCTGGTGAGGGGGAGAGGAAGGGCATACTAAAAGCAAAAATTGCCTTGCTGATGTTTAAAAATTGTCACTGTTTTCCTTTATTCACAGGAGAACTGCTGAGTCAGCCGAGACCAGAGGGACTGACGGAGATCATCTGTCCCAAGAACGGCAGCGAGCGAGTTAATGTTGCCTTGGTTTACCCCCCCACTCCTACTGTGATCAGCCCTTGTTCCAAGTGAGACCAGAAAGCAGACCTATTCCCCTGTCAGTAGGCACCAGAAAGCCTACGTAAAACATGCCCTCACTAAGCACTTCTTTTGGAAGGGAGCAGCCCCACAGCCTGGGGACTGTTCTAATTATTTGTGGCTATAGACAGCCCACTCAGAGGATAAGTACAGTGAAGTGGGCTGAGGTGTTCTCTGAGCTGTTGTGGCAGATGCAAGATCAGGAGATATTGCAGTCATAGGTAGGTTTTGGTAGGATGGGAGGTCAGGAGATTTCTGTACACCCCCTTCTCAAGCAGGACCACTCTCACAAACAGGTCAGGCTCCTTGGGACCTTGTAGAGGTGAGGGTGTCATCCTTGGATGACAAGGATGGAGGTGCTACCACCCCCCCAGACTTTATTCTGGGACAGAACTTCTTTCCTTTTGTTCCATCTGAGTCTTTCTTATTATTTTATTTTATTAACTTGGTTTTCATTGCCATAAGATGCATTACTGGCTTGTGTTCAACATGTTTTCCACCAGATCCCAAGCCAGCAGGACTCCAGGCTATGGTGGTGCCTGGGTTTGTCCTGTTGTAGGAGTAGAGGTATACACTTGTCCTTGTTGAATTTTACAGCACTGTTGTTGATTCAGTCCTCCACTTGGTGAGGTCCCCCTTGGACAGGAGCCCTACCCTCTTGTGTATCTATAGTCTATATGCATTTCACTCCACAGAGTGGGAATGTGCTTGGAAAACAGAGCTCTATTGTGATGGGAAAAAAAGTGGAACAACACTCACAAAAGCAATCAGTGCCTTGGCTTTTTGATGCATGGGTTTTCCAGAAAAACAGAAATTCAGCCAGGGTCTGTCTAATTGGAGTGGCACAAAGGAATTTGGTAGGGAGCTTAGAGGAGCAGCTGAGTGTCTTGCTGGTGTCTGCTGCTGTGCTGTATGTGAATGCCTGTTACTTTCACTTCAGTGTCTTGACAGTAGCTTTGGATGCTGTTCTCTCTGTTCAATACCCTCCCATTCCAAAATACCACTCCTGGTAGAGAATAGCTCCAGTGATGGGTGGTTGTTGAGCTGTGTGTGAAGGTGAGGTTGAAGAACCCATGTGGGGCAGAAAACAAAGATGCTCTGATACTGAGCCACAGGCCATTACTGCCTGTTCATTTGGTTCTCCTGTGTGTGTGTACTTGGCACAGCACGTTTCTAACCTGCAGGTGCCATTTTTATTGTACTGTGCTGTCAGGCTATGCCTCCAATCCTCCTTGTCCTCTAGCTGGCCTTCCACAACGTCTGTTAACTGTGTCCCAGTTTCACAGTCACTCTGCTGGCAGGAAACTTGTGTTCTCAAAAAGGCCTGTGTTACTTTTTCTTCACTTCTCGCTCCCTGTTTAGAAGCCTAGAGAAAATCATGTGTCTTATGTTATTCATCACAAGCACTATCAACCCTGCTACATCACTTTTTCTTTATCCTTTTCTCTTCCAGATAAACTGTCAGTGCTGGTGCCAAAGGTTTTTCCACCGGGCAGAACATGGCCGATGCTCTGCAGTGCTCCCATCTTTCCAGTTGTGGAGTTGATGCTGAGGGGGATCAATGGGACTTTGGACTTTGGACCCTGAAAGAAATGCTGTGGGGCAGGGGCAGCTCCCAGGTGGGGGCCTCATGGCTGGAGTGGATGAAGTCATCTGGAGGTTGGGGATGACAAGGCATGAAGGAAAATGATTGCTGCAGATGGCAGGGCCGCTGGCCGGAGGGAAAACACTGGGGATAGGTTTCTGTGGACCCATTGAATGCGTGTTGAAAACCCATTTGGATCTCATGATGAATGTAAAAATGTTCTTGGTATACCATTTAATTCAGACCTGCTTGGAAGAAAGTCTCTTGAAATGAGCTGTAGCGGGATTCCCTGGATTTGTTCCTGGACAAGTGAGTTTGGTGGCAGCTGGCCAAAGCTTTGCTGGGGAATGGGTTGGTACTGTGAAGCCTTTAAAATTGCTCCACCACAAAACAGTTGGCTGTGTCCCATGCAGCAATCTTGAGTGGAGGCTGGCAGAGAAGCAGGCTGGGACATGTTTCCTGCCCTGTACGTTCACATATGTTGTGCCATGAAGTGGTGAGGACGTGCTGTGATCATGCAGAGACAAAAGCAGGGCAGTCAGTGTGCCTCTGGCACATGCTGTTTCTTATCCCTAGTGTAACCATTATCCCTGAACAGCTGCTGGTCTGCCATGACTGGTACTGCTGCTCTGCCATTGTGGTACTCTCTGTGCATTGTGTCCACTGGAGCACTAAAAATCTAGGTCTTGGTCGTCCTCCTAGGAAAGCCACCCAGGCATCTTTGTGCAGAGATCTGGTAGAAGCAGTGTGTGGCTGTGTGGTACAAGCTGATCCTGGATCCCCCTGGCAGCCATGCTTCATGAGCAGCCATCTTCCCTCTCCAGGTGTGGGAAAGGGCAGGCTGAGCACTGGTACCAAAGTTCAGGTTTCTCCCCCAGCTGTGTGGCTTTGAGGACTTCTAAGATGTTGCTGTTAGTTTATGCCTGCAGCTGAGCCCCGGTAACTGTGCTGTGTGAGTCTTGCTCCATGCAAATATTTATTTAATGTAAATCAATAGGAGGCAGGCATTTCCAGAGCCAGGATCCCTTCTCAGATGCTGGGGGAGGTCTAAGAGATGAGGGACTTAAAATACTTGTGTTAAGGTACAGCTCTTAACTCTTTGGGGTGTGATGGCAGACCTGGGGTGGGTGGTACAGGTCAGCAGGCAGTGCCCACCAGGATGTGAGCTGGCCAGGCCTGCAACCACTGCAAGAGAGTGATGTGTCCTATTGGGACCTGCTGCAGTTGCACAGATGATATTCCCCTGGTTTCTGATCCTTCAGATGCCAGCCTTATGTGCAAGGTTGTAAATCTTCCCATTGGCAAGAACTTAATGCTGGGAAAACAGGGCAGAATCCACTCCAGCAGGAGATCCAGAGGCCAGGTAGAAGAAATCAAGCCACGTACCTTACTTCAGGGGGAAGAGCTGCCAAATAAAAGCTGGCAGCTCAGTCAGCTTCCTGTCTCTTCAGGGTATCGTTCCAGCTTGGGAGGATAGCTTGGGCTCAGATTTCATGTGTTGACCTGCTACCTCTGGTAATGAACCTTACGTCAGTGAATATCATTAACTGATTGTGCTTCTGTGTTGCTGTGGATAAACTGGAGACTCAAAATTGTCAGTGGTGGCTGGAGAAGGTGAAAAGGAGGTGAGATCTTTTAATGGTGCTCAGGAATAATGCTCCTTTGTCCTGAGTCTTGCTGCCCATGAACCATGCCTGGTACAGGCAGAACTTGTGTTAGAGCATTCCCTACTGTCACCTCCCGTGCTGGGTGGCCTTCTCCTCCTGTTTTGCTGCTACTCACCTCTCTTTCCATTCTCCATAGGAAGAAACTAGCGATTTGTTGCTGTGAAGTTGCGTGGAAACCACATTGTAAAGCAACCACAAACTGGAATCCTTTTCCAGCCGGAGGCCTGTTCCCAGTGTGCCCATCTGGTCTGGGATGCGTGAGCATTGAAGGAATGAGAGGACAGAGCAGACTGCAAGAGGACTTACAGCCTGCTCCTTGGGACCGCAGCCCTCCTGCCAGGGTGTGCCACCTCCGTGGGAGCATTCCCTGGCCTTTGCAGGCACTCAGGCTGCTGCTGTGCACTGAAGCCGTAATGCCGGGAGTGTGGCAGTATGGAGATCAATCTAGTTGGGTCTATTTAATACAAAACGGTGATTGCTCATCCACCCACTGTTTAGTAACTGGTGTAACTGTGTTTTCATCCAAATTTTTTTAATATGCAAAAGCCATTTAATTTTCTATGCAGTTCAGAAACATCTCGCCTTTGCAGTTGCCAGGTGGGAGATCCATGCAGGAGAACCAAACCAAGCGGCTCATAGTACTTTTGATTTTGCTGTCGCTGTTTTTAAGGATGCACACTGGGATACATCATCCCTTTGCTGAGTTCCTGCCTCAGACCTCACTTAATATCCCTCAGCCCCAGGGATGAGGGCCCTGTATTTTTGAAGGATCTGTAATTTTTCATTATTCAATCCACAAGGAAAGAGGGTTTGAATGCAGTGCCCTAACAGCAGATACCTGAGTTCAGAGTATGTATTATGTTCCAGTTCTTGTCCCTGCTCAGAGAGTTACCAAACTGTTAGAAATGACTAAGGCCTCTGTGGAGCACTCTGCAGCCTTTACTGAAGATGTATTATAAAGAGGTCAGAAAGGACTGGGACATCAGCCCTGTGGAGCTGAAAATGAATTTAACTCCTTTGGAATAGGAGGAGAATCTCCTGGCAATCTCCTAGACGCCTCTTTCACCCAAGACAATTGTACTGGTTTCACTTACTGGTTTGCAAACCCCTTGCTTGGCCAGTTTTTGATTTCCTGCTGAAACTGGTTCAGACAGATTTGGAAGCAGAGCTAAGGAGCTGCTTTGCACTCCAGGACTTTCAGCAGCTGGAAGATGTCCTGGAGTACCTTGTGTTATGCTCTGAAGCAAAACCTGGGATTCAAAACTGCATCCGTCCAAGCCAAACTCCCAGGATAGCAGCTTTGCCTTCTTCTGGGTCTGTGTAATGTGAGGAATTGCATGTCCCTAAGCAGCATACAACTAGGTAGAGGTGAGAGAGAGTGAGCCCAAAGGGTGATGCTGCACATTTAGGTCATTTTAGGGCTTACAGGAGTACTTGGAGACTTCTGGCAGCTGCAGAGTGTCCTGGGTGATGGGACACCTCTATTTTAACTTTGCTCTAAGCAAAAAGGTCAGAGAAGTAAGATTGTTTCCGGTCTGCCACAAGGCCAGGGTCCCTTTGACTAGTCTCCTTTCATGGCAGTGCTGTTCTTTCTGCATTGTCTGTGCTCTGAGCTTGGGGGAATTCAGCTTTAGAAAGTTAAACTGAAATAGAGGCAAGTTTGGGATTTACCCCGCCTTATGTTCTCTCAGATCAGATGGAAGAGACTGGGGGCTGCAGAAGCATGGGTCATCTCCCTTGCA